TCGGCCCGTGCACTGGGGCCCCAGGGCCTGGCACAGCCCCTTCTGCCCATGCACTGGGAACCCAGAGGCTGACACAGCCCCTTCTGCCCACTGCACTGGGAACCCAGAGGCCGGCACAGCCCCTTCTGCCCATGAACTGGGGGCCCGGGGCCTGGCCCAGCCCCTTCTGCTCATGCACTAGGAGCCCGGGGGCTGACACAGCCCCTTCTGCCCATGCACTGGGGACCCAGAGGCTGACACAGCCCCTTCTGCCCATGCACTGGGAACCCAGAGGCTGACACAGCCCCTTCTGCCCATGCACTGGGGACCCAGGGGCTGGCACAGCCCCTTCTGCCCTGCACTAGGGGTCTAGGGGCCCGCACAGCCCTTTCTGCCCATGCACTAGGGGTCCGAGGGCCCCTTCTTATTTAGTCTTGCCCCATATTTTCTGCAGTATTTGTCCCCTCGTCAGGACTCCTTCATCAGAATCTCTGTTCCTGGTGCTCCCGTCTCTCTAGGGGAATCCCCCCTTGGGGCACACTGGGGCTCCCCCAGAAGCACCCCCCAATGTGGGGGAGGACAATGGTCTTATGTTCATACAGGGCTTCTTCCCAAATCATCCCCAAGTGGTTCCATGCAGCTCCCCTGGAGGAAACGGGCCCATTGTTTCAGAGCACTTAGTGCTGATGCCCGGGGGTGACTCAGAGTGCAGCTTCTTTCCCCTCTAGATCACACCCCAATTGTCTCCCCATGCTCCCCTCATATGCTCCTGCCGCCCGCATGCCCCCTCTCCTGGTGCTCAGCCTCCCAGAGCTGCTGCTTGGTGCACCAGGGGAGCCGGGGCAGGCTGGCTGGAGCGGTGATTAATAATGGCGATAACTCCGTGCATGCTCAGGGTTCAAAGGGGGCTCTGTCTCTGAGCCTACGGTGTGGTAGACCTCTGGTTGGTTAAGCAGAGGACCCCAAAGAAGGATGAGAAAAACAGGACAAAATTGCAACTGGAGCATTTTGCAATGTTCCCCCTGTGACTGTGAGTGAATATCTCACTAAAACAATTAAACAGACGCTTCCATGGGAAAATGACTTCGCCAGATTGGGGGGCAAGGGGCCAATGGTGCGAGGGTGATTTCCACCAGCTGAGGATCTGCCCTGCTACTCTAATGACTAAAATCCCTCTAAGTGCAAATCTCAGTGCAGCCGTAACTGTGGAACTGCCACCACTGCCTCCATCATTGTAAGTGATAAATCATTACATCTCCATCTACCCCGCATGGTTGTAAAATATACCTATTGATTTCTGCAATATAAACACGTCACTTACAGGAAATGACTGGAAACAACAACAACAATGGGAGGAGGTTAGACAGACACTGCACGCCACCTCAGGATTACAGGCAGGTGGACATGGAAACAAGAATCAATACACCTTGGAGGACATGGGCAGCATTACCAGAGGACATAACCATGCAAGGCTTGTGCATCAGACCAATCCAATGGAGGCTGGACACTCCTCAGAGCTGGTGTTCTCACCCGCTGGGGTCTGCTGCAGAGTGAGCTAACAGATGGCTGCCTAGGATGAGTTTGAACGTAGAACTAGATTGTGCCCTCGGACCATCTCCACTGCTGCATGTTATCCGAGCTCAGAACGGCACCAGCCTGACAGCCGCCATCTGGCTCAAGCCGTAGCTGGGCTTGCATGGTGCCCCGGCCAGCTCCTGGATCGAGGAATGGGAAAGGTGCCATAGAACCACTTTCCCTGTCTGTCCAGGTCCTGCGCAGAGCACAGCTCAACCAACCCCAGGGATTTGGCTCTGAGGCTCTTCTTGTCTCGGCTTCAGACTTTCCCAGCAATCCTGAGTTGGCATATTTCCTGCAGGAGGATAATTCTAGCCTGGGCCGAGCCATACAAGTTGCTTCTTTGCCTGGGTCTGCCCCGCTCCTGGCAGCAAACAGACATCACTGAATAGCTGCTCAGACGGTTTTCAGCTTCAGCACCTTGGAGAGTGGTTCCCTGGCACTCGAGTACATGAGGTAGGAGCCCGCCGTTGTGTGAAACGCTTCCCAGTCTCGACAGCCAAACGTCGGAAGACGATGAACTGCTACGAAGCCTTCATACCCTTGCCACCTGCAGCACAGAGGATATGCGTTAATACCCACAGCCTGGGTTTGCATCTCCAATGGGCACCTCCCCACGCTAGTGACTTTGAAGGGCTGTCTATGCTGCAGTCAGCGGTGGGACTGCAGCAGGTGTAGATGCACCCGAGCTAGCTCTGACCTAGCTAGCTCCAATAACAGCAGCAGTGAAGCCGCTGCAGCATGGGCCAACCTACCTAGATCAAAGCTAGTTCAGGTATGTCCACGCGTGCTGCAGTCACACCTCTGACTGCAGCCTAGACAAACCCTTGCTAGTTCAAACTGACAGAAATGTTGTCCCGCAAAGATACATTGGCTAGATAGAGAAATGCTCCTCCCAGCCCCCATCACTCCATTGCAAGCTTCCTTATCTGGAAGGGTTGCAACTGGAACAGAACTAGAGGAAGAGCTCGCTGCTTGAGGCTTGGTGCTATAGTAGGCCTCTCCCCTTCAGGGATGTTTTGTGTAGTAGCAGACACTGGATTCATTCCCAGTCTGAATAGCTTCATACCTCTGCCCCCCCTACAGACAATGAGGCACTGATGACTGGTCATGAGATACTGAACCTGTTCCCTCTAGGCTGGTGGTTGAAAAGTCACCCAGTAGTGACCTAGAATGATCACCTGATGGCTGGGTGTGGTGGCCTATGGGAAATGGATTTGGTGGCCTCAGTCCAGGCCCTAGTGGACAGGGTCAGCACCACCCCACAGGTCACTGAGAGCAGGTGGGCAGGCTCAGCAAAGGTCAACGGGCAGCCCAGCCATGGAGACTCTCGCCCTGGTGGTGGCACCTCCCGGTCAGGATTGCAGTGGGGCAGCACACAGAGCTCGCGGGGCTGCTGCCCACACAGCACTGGTCCCCAGCCCGACAGAGGCCTGCAGGATGCTCGCTCGGGTACATTTTACCAGTTCTGCATCCACTGTGAAAAGCCTGAGGAGAAAGGCCTCTGCATGGGGTCCCCTCTAATCACTGTCCATGGGCACTGAACCCAACACATCTATTGGCCACAAGAGAGCAGTGGAAGGTGCTGTGTCTCTCCTTCTCTCCCTGCCTCCTCCTTTGGGTCCATTGCCTTGTTTTGCTACTTTTGGCTGAAATGGCCCAGCTCTGCATGGGTTAGAAAGATGCTTGCTTTGTACTAGGGCCCATTCAGAGGTATGGATCTGCAATCAGGTAATGAGAGTAGAAGGAAAGGGTGGAATAACTTCCCCTGTACATTTCCTGCTTGCTCTGCTTCTGGGCCACCTGCCCCCATGCAGAGCAGCCCAGAGCCTGAGGAGGCAGAGCAGGGTGACAGGATGAAGTGAATCACTCCAGCCTTCTAAGCCGTCTCTCTCTGCATTTCCTCTGGCCCTTGACTGCAGACAATTGACAGTGCCTCTCCAACTGCCTGTGGCGCTAAGATGGGGCCACGCTGCTCGGGCATCATTACCTGTATATAATACTGTTCACAGAGAAGGTGAATCCATCAAAGGAGTTTGCTACCACCAGAAAATAATCTTCTCCCACTGAAAAGAATTCCCAGTCCAGAGCACTGTGATAGGGAGCAAGCACACAGATGGGTCATTAGAACCATCCCTAGAGAGGCTCACCAGGTCCCTTCGGGGCATCAGCCTGCATCCAGCCCAGGGCAGCACAGAGACACAAAGCTGTTACCATCTGCTGGCCATTTCCTGGGCTTTGTGATGAGTTGGTGGCTCCAGTCCAGTTCCTAGTGTCCCCGGGAGAAAGGCCATGACCACAGCTGGCATGGAGTGGCCGCGGCAGCAGGAGGGGATGATGGGTATAAAGTACCCTCCTCCAAACAGGGTTGGTCTCCCCAGGTCAGGGTGGAGGCACATTGGTGGGACAGTTTGCTGTGCCACTGCCCACAATGCACCTGTTTTGTGGATAAATAGCTGCTAATTCAGCCCTTTCCACAAGCACTTCATTCATAGCAAGCCTGGCCTCCAGTAACAGCCAGCTATGGCCGGTCCATATGTGGGCGTGAGTTATACATGCCACAGAGTCATGTCAGCCCTGGCCAGGCGAAGCCTTGCAAACTCAGACAATGCGGGTCATTGCTGTGGCTACACTGTAACATCTAGCACCACAAGAGGTTAAGAGTTGAATGGGTGACAACACCTTACCTCTTTTCAGCATGGTCAAATTGCACTGTAGTGTCCAGACTCAGAGGAACTGATACAGGGAATGATTAGGGATCACAGCCAAGCTTTCCAATTGATATACGCTTGCTGCTAAATTCAGAACCACACATGACTGGGCTGGGCATTGAGGAAGACAGAACTGGGCCCATATGCTGTATACAGAAGAGGCAAGATCACCCCTCCCTTAAAAGTGACTTACAAAAATTATGTTAGTCTGAGGGGAATGCAGCTCTTTCCACATAGAGGCAGGTTTTCCCCAAGCTGCCTTCAGTTATAATACATTTTGAAAAGAATCTTTTCAACAATTGATCCTCACACATTTTAGTTCCTATCATGTTCCAGAACCAGCTACCATTCAGCGAATTCCCAGCATGGGTCAGTGGAGAGGGAATGGGGTAGCCAGTGATTTTTTGTGAAGCTCCACATTTCTCAGCTAAGGTACAGTCGAGGTCCGGACTCCAGAGAAACATTTTTCACATCGCAATAACAATAATGATAAGAAGTAAATAACAAGATTTCGGGGTCCGTTCAAAAGCGGCTGGCGGTCTGGATTTGGCCTGCGGGCTGCCTATTGATTACCCCTGGGACAGGGCATGGGTGGGACACAACAGATATTGCTGGTGCTTGTTATCGGGCCTGATTTTAAGAAGTGCTGAGCAACCTCATCTCCCATTGACTTCTGTGGTGTTGGGCAGCCCGGACTATCAAGCCACTAAGCTTGCTGCCTCCGTTTCCCTACCTGTAAAGAGGGCTAAAGCCCTTAGCCAAGTGGCTTGAAACCAGTGTCTGAGAACAGCCAGACTGGCACTATTTGTTATTGCCACTCTCCAAGCTCCACCCTCAGTGGGATTGGCTGGCAGAGCACCTCTCCGTGTGTCCTGCAGACAGCTCCAGAGAAGTCGACCTGAATGCTTTGCTCCGGGGAATGGAGTAGGACGCTGCCCGTGTACAGGCCAAAGCACCAAGGACTCACCCGCTTGCCTTTTCGGTAACGGCTGCTGGTTGAGAGAAGGAGCGGGATACAGCCAGCTACGGTGGGGGCCTGAAACACGCATCCTCGCTTTGGTCTTGGCTAAAAGAGGCACACTGCCTTTGAGCAGCTGAGGTCATGTTGGGCTAGGACCCCGTCTGAGCGGGCTGACAAACGATGGCCAAGTAGCTCACCTATGCCATGGTGCTGGTGGCACGGAAAGGCTGATTTCCCACAGGAGGAGGAGTTCAGTTAAAGACCTACCAAGGTGCAGGTGGCTCGCAGGTGTTACGCCAATGCAGAGGGCTGGCAGCACTCATGAGGAAGGCTTGTTTGGGGTCAGTTTAAGACTCTGATGTGGAAGCAGCTGGCTGAGGGGAGAGCGGTCCTACCTGGCCCAGGGCTCTTACATCGTAAAGCCTGGCTGGCAATGTATCCATCCCCCTACGGTCTGCACTCAGACCGAATGGGGAGAAGCCTCCTTTCTGCTGAGCTACAAACGGCCTCTCGACACTCCCTTCTGTCCCCGGTCTCAGCACACACAAAGCTCCAGCGCCAGGCCTTGAGGCTGCCTGATCGGGATCGGCACTCTGAAATCTACCCATGCCCTGCCAGAAGAAGGACCTGGGCCTCCCCACTAGCTCAGCCAGGAAGATCCACCTCAGCACAGAGAAATGTGTGGAGCAGAGCGAAGTGCCTGTATCTGGATGGGCCCTGGGTGTGGTGGGTCCCCACTGGGCACAGAGGGCCGGAGCAATGGGCAGAGACAATGAAGGGGTGTTTTCTTTTGTTCTTGTCTGGCTTTGCTGGTGATACGGACTTTGTAACCGAGCTCTGCAAAGGACACTGGGCCTGGTTCTCCTCTGCCTTGCACCTTGGGCAGCCTGTTATATAGTGCAAAGGGGACATATAATGCAGCCACTGAAATCCAGTGTGGGGAGGGGAAAATTGGGCCCAAAGTGGGGGCGGGGGGGTTCCTCTAACCACCTTCTCCCAGTACTATGCTAGTAGAACTCCCAGAAAGTAACTATCTAGATAGCTTTCAAAGTAGCAGCCGTGTTAGTCTGTAACTGCAAAAAGAACAGGAGTACTTGTGGCACCTTAGAGACTAACAAATTTATTTCAGCATAAGCTTTCATGGGCTACAGCTCTCTTCTTCAGATGCATAGAATGGAACACAGACAGAAGATATTATCACTTCAAAGTTTTTTCTTCTGCTGCTACTGATAGCTCATCTCAATTGATTGGCCTCTTACAATTGGTATGCGTACTTCCACCTTTTCATGTTCTCTGTATGTATAAATATCTTCTGTCTGTGTTCCATTCTATGCATCTGAAGAAGTGAGCTGTAGCCCACAAAAGCTTATGCTGAAATAAATTTGTTAGTCTCTAAGGTGCCACAAGTACTCCTGTTCTTTTATCTAGATAGCTGTTCAGCCTACGCTCCCAACTGCTAAACATCAGATAACCACTGTAGCCAGCTGTGTCCTCCTCTTACACAACATGGTTCATTGAAACAGGACGGGAACAGACGCATTGGTGGAACCTTCATTGACAGACACGGGACTCTGCTTCTTCTGAGCACCACAGCCACCCCAGTCGTCAGTCTCCCTCCTTTGCTTGAATGGGAACATGCCTCAATTTCCAAATCTGGGGCCTGATCCTCAGCTGGCGCAAAGCAGCACAGCTATTGAAGTCCATGGAAGTTGGCTGTTTTAAGCGAGGTCAGGGTATGGGCCCTGATGTTCCTACGTAGTGACTTCCTCTCGTCATGTTTCCCAAGGGGAGGGGGAGCGTAATCATAGGTGTAGTTTGGGGGGGCCTCTGGGGACACTGTCCCCACAGAGGGGAGGCATAGGGGTCACATGCCATTCCTTCCCCCCTATTTCTGTGGATGCTGAGCTACCCTGCAGGGCTTGCTCGGCCTGGGGGGCAGGGAGAGAAGGGGCTTTGTCACTGCCCTCATTTCAGCTCCCCAGAAGGCATGGAGCAGGATTGAGTGAGCAGCTTTTCCTGGGTCCTAGTGCCCACCTCATTCCTCTACAACCATGAGTGCCAGTGGGGGGCAGGAGGGAGGGGACAGAGCAAGGGGGGGTGAGGAGAAGAGACAGTGGGAAAGGGAAGTCGGATGGGACGGGGGAAGAGAAGGGGAGAGGAAGAGGGAGGGGATGGGGAAGAAAAGGGGATACGGGAATGGACAGGGGGAAGCAGGAGCCCAGCATGTGACGTTCCCTGGGCAGCAGCAGCCCCAGCAAGGAGGCAATCGCAGCAGCAGTACAGCTAGGACCTCGCTGCAGCAGCCGGTGCCGGAGTGGCTGCCAGCAGCAACTGGGGCTCCCCCGTTATGCCGTCCTGTCCCCCCCAGTACCAGCAGCCCAGGTACCACTGGGGGAGGGGGGAAGAGCCAGTGAACCAAGGGGACTGACTTGAGCATGCACATGTGTGTGCTTGTACATGGGTGTGCTTTGCCCCCCCAAATAGAGCAGTCAAACTACGCCTATGAGCGCAATTCCTGGCAGATTCAGGTATTATGTGAATCCTTGGGTTAAATTCTCTGCCCTGTGCTATGCAGGAGGTCACGGTCCCTTCTGGTCTGAAAAAATCTACAAATATCTAACTCTGTGATCACTGGAAAGGAAATTGAATTGGGAACTTTCTGGGACCCAGTACAGATGTTTTTGCACTGAAAAAAGAGTTGGTACCTGTAGGTGAGAAGATCCTGAAACTTGACAAACATCTGTGCCGTGATGTTCAGCTCATAGATGGAGGAGTTGATGGCGTAGTAGTTGTTCGGCACTACGGTTCCACTGTCGTAACTGTGACTGTTAGCCACAGCGAGGAAGATTCTGTCTCCAATGCGAAAGACCTCCCAGTCGGCAGCACCAAAAGTCTAGGATGAAGCGAAAAAGTGAACGTGGGTAACATATCTTTAGATTGTAGTCAGGCTTTTCACACGGTCCTACATGACATTCTCATAAACAAACCAGGGAAATGGGGTCTAGATGAAATTACTATAAGGTGGGTGCCCAACTAGTTGAAAGACCATACTCAAGGAGTAGTTATCAATAGTTTGCTGTGGAGGATGTGCCTAGTGGGGTCCTGCAGGGGTCAATCCTGCATCTGGTATTAGTCAATATTTTCATTAATGACTCAGATAATGGACTGGAGAATGTGCTTATAAAATCTGTAGATGACACTGAGCTGGGAGGGGTTGCAAGCACTTTGCAGGACAGGATTCAAATTCAAAATGACCTTGCCGAATTGGAGAATTGGTCTGAAATCAGCAAGATGGAATTCAATAAAGACAAGTGCAAAATACTTTGCTTAGGAAGGAAAGATCAACTGCACAATTACAAAATGGGGAATAACTGGCCAGGTGGTAGTATTGCTGAAAAGGATTGGGGGTTGATAGTGGATCTCAAATTGATTATGAGTCAACAATGGATGCAGTTGCAAAAAAGACTAATATCATTATGGGGTGTATTAGCACGAGTGTCATATGTAGGACCCAGGAGGTAATTGTCTCTCTCTACTTGTCACTGGTGAGGCCCCAGATGGATACTGTGTCCTGTTCTGGGTGCCACACTTAAGGAAAGATGTGGACAACTGGAGAGAGTCCAGAGGAGAGCAACAAAAATGATAAAAAGTTAAGAAAACCGAACTATGAAGAATGGTTAAAAAAACTGGGCATGTTTAGTCTTGAGAAAAGACAGCTCCGGGGAAACCCGATAAAAGTCTTCAGATATGTTAAGGGTTGTTATAAAGAGGAAGGCAATCAATTGTTCTCCATGTTCACTGAAGGTAGGACAAGGAGTAATGGGCTTAATCTCCAGCAAGAGATTTAGGTTAGATATTAGGAAAAACTTTCTAATTATAAGGATAGTTAAGCTCTGGAATACGCTTCCAAGGGAGGTTGTAGAATCTCCATCCTTGGAGGTTTTTAAGAACAGGTTGGACAAACACCTGTGAGGGCTGGTCTAAGTTTACTTGGAACTGTGACAATACAGGGAACTGGACTTGGTGACTTCTTGAGGTCCCTTCCAGCCCGACATTTCCATGATTCATGAATAATTTTTAATGGAGGTCTCAAACCTATTACACAGGTGTGCGTAGACCCGTGTTAGGCCACATTTCAGCAGAGCATTTAAGCACATGCTTTACTTCAAGTACCATGTGCATGCAGAACTGTAAGGGTACTTGGTTGAATAGGGATGGTTTACTGAATCAAGGCCTGAGAAACTGCATGGTGTTGCCTGGAAGGACAAAGCATTGCACAGTGCGTCACCTCTCATCCCCAGCAGCTTCACACTGTGACGCTATTATACATGTATCAGGAACAGATGTCGTACGCGCTATTTCAGAGGTGGTGATCCAGAGACTACAATTGTCACAGAATACTCTGACCAAAGCTGTGAAAGAGAAGAGATTTTGGCAGCTTCAGGGCAGGCTTTTGGGACACAGGTTCTCCTCCCCAACACTAGCACAGTCTCTGGGTGACAACCTTTCCCCAACATGAAGCAGATAGGAAGCCCTACCTGTTAGAACGACACACTTAGGAAGATCAATGTCCAGGCAATTTGATTTTGAGGCCATAGTTTCCTTAGCTCTAGTTCTGAACTTTCTGTTCCTTTTGTTAGCCCCTGCTGCTTTAGGAAGGATAGGGATTTTCACAAATCTTAAGGGTAAATTTAAAAACCAAATTGGAAGTTTGCAATTTCCCATTAAAAAGAAATCAAGCTCTCCAGACATGGAGCAGTGTCTGAGAAATAGGACTGAAATGCATCTCCGACTTGTGAGAATGTACCTGCCACATTTCACTGGTTGCAATTTGGAGCTTGTTAAATACTCCTCTATGAAAGAGAGAACATACCCCAAGAGGGCAATCATGCCCTGCCAAAAACAACTTCCACACAGGAATTGGCTGTTATGGCCTGAAACAAGTCCTGCTGCTGGTAACTGGCGGAGAGCGGCAGCTTTCTGAATCCTCCAGTGGCTCTTTCCCATAGCAAAGTGTTCCAGTAAACCCGGATTTCCTCTCAGAACACTCGTTTCCCTGGCCCTCTGGGGACTTAAATCTCAGCACCATCATCGTGGATTTAAAAATCACAAGGAAGGGAGGGAAGGTGAAATTGTATAAATAATGAACCTTCCAAGGAGCCTTGAGCAGGGGTGTGGCAGCGCCATCAGGCGAATGATTTGCTGATTTCAGCCAGTTGTTTTCTCAGAAGGGTACAGCAAGTGACCTCGGTGAGTCCCTTTCTTTTCTGGGCCCTGGCACTGTCTAATTAGGAACACAGGCTATTATTCAGTAGGCAGAACTTTTACTCTAGCTCCAGCGAGACCCCCGGTAGCTGCTGTCCTGGATGTCACCCTCGGAGAGCACAGGCTGCAGCTCTAAGGGCTGGGCGAGGAGAGCAGCCAAGCGTGGGTACTTGCTTTTCAAACGAGGACAATCTGGCAGATGAACACTCAGGAGCTGGGTCAAACCTACGCTGTGTTCTTGGTCTTGCTGTGAAGGCAGCTCCTGGAGATAGAAAGAAACTCCCAGCACTCAGCAGAGACTGCTCCAGTCAACGGGATGAGGGTGAAATTTAAGTCAATGGCAAAACTCCCACAGACTTCAGAGGGCTAGAGTTTCACCATCAGTGTCGGGTCCTGCTTGGCTAGCGGGCTGGGGATCACTGGGCCTGAGAGGGCAGAGGTGTGTATGGAGAGAAGGGCAGAGAGGTGGAGCCGAACAGTTTGGTAGGGATGGGGAGAGCATTACGCTGCTGTCTCAACCAGGGCTGCTCTCTCCATCAGCCTGCCGAGCCCTGCTGCTCTGCTGATTTGGAGAGTGGCCTGCAAAGTGACTTGGGAGATCCCCACCCACCCAGCAATGTTTTCCTGGGCAAGATAATGCAGCAGGGGCTGTATAGGTCACTTTTTCTATATCCAGAGTGATTGGAAACTGCTGTGGAGAGTTTGGGCTTGTTTGTTGTTCACATGGTTACTGCTGCATGTTTGAGTCAGCCCATGGCAGGATGCACGAGGAGCTGTTGTAAAGCTGTGAGGAAAGGCAGGCAGCATTCAAGGAGCTGCCTCCAGCTCTTCTCTTCTGCTGGTCTGTTCGGGTCTCGGCCTGTGAGCTCATCAGGGCATGGACATTGTCTTTCCAGCAGTCTCTAAAGTGCCTGGCACACTACTGGAACTGTACAGACAGCAAACATTAATATGTGCATTGACGAAAGCGGGTGTGTAATGGGGTTGGGGTTGAATCTGAGGTCATATAGCCCCGCCCAGCGCTCTACTATTCCTCTCCCCTGCTGCCCCAAACCCCCTCCCAGGCTGGTGTCAGCTAGCGACACTGTCACTGCATATAAAAGAAACCTGAACTTGGCAAGTCTTTAGGGAAGAAAACCCCAGCAGTACCCCATGGGACTAGAGATACTTGTCTCTACACTTATTACCTAGCATTGTCTCGAATCCCTACAAGGCAGGAGACAGATTTCAGGCTATTACACTCAAGTAGCAAAAGACAAGAGAACAAAGCCAGGGAAGAGTGTAAGATTTGTTAGAAGGAAGAAGCTTGATTAGTTTTCTATATTGATTTTTGTCTTCTGTGGCCGCGAAATAGGCTTCCGCAAGTTCCGCGATCAAAGGAGACACTCAGCAGCTTTCGCTTTTTTCACCAATTCACACACAAAGAGAGAGAGAGGCTGTTGGTCTGTCCCCAGGACATGAGACATGCACCTCCTCCTACAGCCAGATCCCACTGGCCCCAGGAGCCGCGCCTCCTCCTACAGCCAGATCCCACTGGCCCCAGGAGCCACGCCTCCTCCTAGAGCCAGATCCCAGTGGCCTCCATGAGCCATGCACCTCCTCCTAGAGCCAGATCCGGCTGGCCTCATTTAGCTGGGAAGTCCCATTAAAGTCACTGGATCTACTCAGTGCAAAAGGGAAGTCAAATCTGATTAATATCAACTTTTTACCAGGATTGACTGGAAGAGCTGAAAGGAGCCACCAAGCCAGATGTAGATGTGGGAGTCGATCTTCGTAGATGTGCCATTAAATGTGTTGGCCACGACCAGGAAAGAGTAAGGTCCAACAGTAAAAAATTCCCAGTCGTAGGCTCCAGAGGTAGGAATGGTCTGGTTGGCCTCGAAAAGTCCAGTCCTGGGGTTCCACCGATATATGACACTATTGATGTTGTGATTATCCCCTGGGAATGACAGAAACAGAAGAGGGCATTAGCAAACAGAATGCAGTCTGGTGATCAAAAGAAATGAGACAGTAACAGGACAGATTGAAGGAAATATACGAACGGGGGAAAGCAGCTAAGCTGTCTGTCCCTTAGGGACTAATTTCTTCCCAAGAAGTAAACGAATAGATGCTACAAATTCAATTCCCCTCAGCCAATGGCAGCGTTAACCCAGCAAGGACAGCGAGGAGTAAGTAATACCTAAGTGGAAACCTCTCCTGGATATGTGGGGGCAATTCTAACAGTGCCTTGAGCCCTCTGCAGCTCAGTAGGGGTGCAGCTATAGAGTTTGGTGCATGGGCACCACTGAAATGTGGCACTTCAAAGGGAATGTCCCAGCTACTCCAGGCAGCTAGGGATGTACCATTCACCCTGGGTAACTGCCGGGTGAGACTGGACCAGTCTTGCTGTTTCCGAGAGACCTGAGGAAAGATTGCACAGGATGCATCAACAGAAAGGCAATCAGTTCCTCTCTGTGCGTGTACAGATACAGACACTACAGTGTAATCCTGCCTGTTCTCTCTCTCTCTCACACACACACACACACACACGACTGGGATCTACCAGTTCTTACATCTAGGGGTGTGGCTACGCTTTGGGCTGGGGTGTGATTTCCAGCTCACAGAGACTAGCAGCTCTGCTAGTTCTCCCTCAGCTAGTGCACTGAAAATAGAATGCAGCTGGGCAGCGTGAGCTGTGGGAAGGGCTATCCACCCCACCTGTGTGCCCATCTGAGACCCTAGGCATGTACTTGGGGCAGCTAGACCGTCCTGCAGCTCATGCCAAGCTATCCCTATGCCACGGCACTCTCCTTAGGGCTGAGAGCAGCCAGACATAACATGCTGCCTCTGGGCTGCAGCCATGGCACTAGCCCCGTGTGAAAGCAGGAGAACTTCATGCCCAAATACCAAACCTGGTTCCAAAGCCCACCGCACAGGAGAAAAAGTGAGAGGTGCTAGCGCTGTGACCAGGCATCGGGAGTGACACGCAGCTGTGTGCAATGGAGAACTGCTGTTTGGCCCAAACATTAACACTGGCTGCATTGCCAGCTTTCCCTTTCCCAGCAAAACACTTGAGAATAGAGCTCTCTACCCTCCCTTCCATCCTCCTCACCTCCCAAAGGAACATCCTGGGCAGCCTGATTTTTGGGCTTCTATTTCATCTCTCCTCCGTGGAGTTACCCAGCACCTTTCAGCTCGCACCCCTAGGGTCTCTTGGACCATAGTGCTGCCCGAACGTGTGAGTCACTCCAGCTTGCCTCTAGGACACAGCCTAATGCATACTAATGCATGCGTAAGGACTAGAGCTGGTCTGAAAAAATACAGCCTAACAGTGTTCCATCGCACATGCAGTTCCATCAAAATCTAAACACGTCACAAAATCATGTCGATTTCACCAACATTTCAGAGACAGGAAGAAAATAGTTCCAGCAATCCCAGTGTTCGGTCTCGGCATTTTCATAATGAAACATGTTCAGTTTTAACTTTTGAAATTACTTTTTGTTGCAACATTTTTATGTTGTATTATATGATCTATTGTAATAGAAAATAAAAGTTGATCCTTTTGATTTTCATACTGTCATTGAGCTAAAACAAGTCTCTTTCCTGAATTTTCTTTTCTTACAAGTATGTGTGTAATGGAGGGCCCCTAAAAGTGCAGGGCTGATAGTTTTCATAGGCCACTGATTACCTCCTGTCAATATCTCCGATTGCTTTCTCTTGTGGTTCTGTGCCTAATTATTGCACAGCTGGTCACACGGGATGGTTGGCTGTTTGCTTGATTTACACTGAGAAGGCTGAAATAAATCTTTCCACTTTATATTTGCAGCAGTGCAGCAATTCACACCTTCTCAGGCACATCAGTTTAAACCTGCATTTTTTATAGAATTTTTAATCGCTCATGTTTTAACTGCAAAGAAGTGGAGTCGTTGGCTGTACCGGTTACTTACTATAGAAGCATAAAAAGAGAGAGTGACAGATATATAAGAAAAAGAGGTCAGGGAGGTTTCAGTTATGGACATGATCATTTCTCAGGGGGAAATCAGATTTTAAATCAAGATTGGAGGTCTTTCTAATAATATGCTCTAGCTCAATCGCAAGATATGGGCTGGATGCAGAAATCACTAAGAGCAAGCCTCTGGGCTATGGTATACAGGAGGTCAGACTACATGGTCTAACAGTTCCTTCTGACCTTCCAACCATTTCCTCACACCACCCTAATCCTTTAACAAACCTTGTTCTTTTCTTTGTGGTTGTGCCGCTAGTAATAGAACAATGTGCTTTTCAGACAGACTCAGCTATTTTCATGAAACTGATTAAACCAATGGCTAGTCACTCGTTTTGCTTTACATGCAAAACCTTTGCCAAGCCTCTGAGTACAGTAACTCCTCACTTAAAGTCATCCTGGTTAATATTGTTTCATTGTTACATTGCTGATCAATTGGAGAACAGGCTCATTTAAAGTTGCGCAATAACGTTGTTTGGCAACCGTCTGCTTTGTCCACTGCTTCCAGAAAGAGCAGCCCATTGCAGCTAGCTGGTGGGGGCTTGGAACCAGGGTGGACCAGCAGCCCACCTATCAGCTCCCCGCTCCCCTAAGTTCCCTGTGCAGAAGCTGCCCAGCAGGCTATCAATTCCTGGCAGTTCAGCTGTCCCTCCCCCCACTGCCATGTGCTGCTTCCTGCCCTCTGCCTTGGAGCTGCTCCTGGGAGCCTGCTGTGTGTCGGGGAGAGAATGGGGGGGGCTAATGTCAGGGTGTCCCCCTCCCCCCTGCTCCTGCCCCCCATTTACCCCATCTCCATAGAGCGGGGGGGACGGACACGACAGGGCTCAGGACGGAGGACGCTTACTGGCAGCAGCTGCTGTCTCAACTTGCTGATCTACTTAAAAAGGCAATGTACTTAGAGTGCGGTCAGCGTACTTAAAGGGGCAATGCGCATCTCTCTCTCTCTCTCTCTCACACACACACACACACACAGGGTGTGTTTCTCTGTCTGCCATGCTGTCTCCCCTCCCTCCATTTGTGCTGCCTTGTAGAGTGTGAGGCTACATTAACAACAATGGGTTAACCCTTGAGTGCTCAGCTGAATGCTAGTTCATCATTCAGCACTAAGGCATTCCCTGGGAAATATCCCACCCTCTAACTCCACCACCTCAACCAAGCTTCACAATCATCATTGCTGTGTACAGTATGAAATTGTTTGTTTAAAACTTATACTGTTTGTGTGTGTGTATATATATATATATATTGTGACAAAGTTCCTCCTCTATCTTGGTGGGTCCTGCGCTTATTGGCGGATTTTTTTGCCTCAGAGATTCACCATGTGGGTTGGGGAACAACCCAGAGACCTTCCCCTTTGGAAGAACCCACAGTCCAGGTCAATTAGGAGGTTTGGGGGGAACCCGGGCCCACCTTCTACTCCGGGTTCCAGCCCAGGGCCCTGTGGACTGCAGCAGTCTATAGTGCCTCCTGTAACAGCTGCATGACAGCTACAACTCCCTGGGCTACTTCCCCATGGCTCCTCAGTCCTCCAGCAGCACACTCTCTCACTCTCAACTCCTTGTGCCTCTTGCTCCCAGCTCCTCACACTCGCACCACAAACTGAAGTGAGCTCCTTTTAAAACCCAGGTGCCCTGATTAGCCTGCCTTGATTCTAGCAGCTTCTTAATTGGCTCCAGGTGTCCTAATTAGCCTGCCTGCCTTAACTGGTTCTAGCAGGTTCCTGATTACTCTAGTACAGCCCCTGCTCTGGTCACTCAGGGAACAGAAAACTACTCATCCAGTGACCAGTATATTTGCCTTCTAACAGACTCCTGTACCCCACTGGTCTGGGTCTGTCACAATATATATATATATTATATAAAATATAGTCTTTTGTCTGGTGAAATTTTTTTCCCTGGAACCTAACCCCCCTATTTATCATAGAATCAGAGAGTATCAGGGTTGGAAGGGACCTCAGGAGGTCATCTCGTCCAACACCCTGCTCAAAGCAGGACCAACACTAACTAATTCATCCAAGCCAGGGCTTTCTCAAGTCTGACCTTAAAAACATTAATTCTTATGGGGAAATTGGATTTGCTTAACATCGTTTTGCTTAAAGTCGCATTTTTCAGGAACAGAACTATAACGTTAAGCGAGGAGATATTGTATTACTTGCGGCCCTTTTGTGTTAAATAATTTGGATCCATTGTGGTTTTATACTAACATTCCCCTCTGGGTGGCAGCACACTGCAACTCTGTGGCTAGCCTCAGCGTGTGGAATGAGTCCAAACTCCTGCATCCTGTTAGTACGGACACAAGCTAGCAGTCAGTGGGAGCTGAAGACCATCAGTGCTCAGTCCTGCAGGGTGCTGAGCGCTTGGGACTCAGTCCAGGGGGACTTGACATTTGTGAGGAGTGCCACTGAAGCCAAGTCCCAGGCCCAGTCCCATTGAAGTTTAAAGGTAAGCAAGTGTTTAAGTGCTTGGCTGGTGGTCAGCAACTCACAGGATCAAACATCCCCAGTGCTTTGGAAAACTAGCCCTTAGCTGATGACGTTTGGAGACGCGGCTGACACAAGGGGAAAGACCACACTGCTCTCAGAGGCCAAGAGAGAGGTGATGATGTGACAGCAACATGAACACTTTGGGGAAATAGTGTGTAAATAATGGCATTCACCCCATGCACAGCCAGCACAAAATCTGGGCACACAAGTCCCATGGAACCCCCATTCTGAGGAGTGAAGGGGTGCACAGTCATTATACCTAGAGACATTCCCCAGGGGAGGAGAATGATTGACAGCTGGAGTCTACCTATGGTAATTATCTGCTCCCGTTACCACAGCACCTGAGCACCTCCTAGTAGTTAACATATGTAGGGCAGGGCTGTTACGCTTACCTGACAGATGGGAAAACTGAGGCCCAGAGAGGCTAAGTGACTCGCCCAAAGTCCAACAGGCAGGCTGTGACAGCAGGGAACTGACCCCACATTTCCCACAGCTCAGTCTAACACCCTAACCACCAGACCCTGCACCTCCCTCATATCGTGACCATGATGGGAGGCCTTGAGGAATCCATCTGGGAAGCAGAGGCTTCCCCTGGGAATGAAACGGCTCCCAAGGTCTCCTCCAACTCCTCAACGTCCCTGATTCCCCATTACAAACATGGGATCCATCGTTCAGATTCACCCTCCCATATTTGCTAGCTCTAGGTTTTCCATAGGCAACTGTCGTCTTTACTCCTGCAGCCCACAGAGCCTGTAGACTGGGATTGTGGGGCTCTCTCTCACCTGGCAGGTGTCTCTTACTATATCGCTCTCATTTTAGGACCCCACCAGGCCTTGCGTGTTGGTCAGACACAGGGCATAGAATTGTGGCTACAGCACTCAGTGGAAGACCTGACTTCTATTCCTGGCTCTGCCAAGACCAGGCAAGGGACATCACTTCTCTGCGCCTTGGTTTCCCCACCCTTAAAATGTGGAGAATGATACCAGCTTCCTTTGTAAAGCACTTTGAGATCTACTGATGAAAAGTGCTGTATAAAGCCTAGCGAGCTATTACGGGAGATGCAGACTGTGTAAGAGGAAAGGTAATTTCAGAGACTATTTTAACCCATTGGGAAATCAAGTGTGTTTTCACTGCTCCCCAGTAGAAGTACTGTCTCTTTAAAACTCTTCTGAGGAGCCACATAATGCAGCCCATCCATTGAATCCATTGCAATATCCCTCCTGGCAGAACAAGCCTCTGATGGGGGTGATAGGTGAGCTATTAGGGAGATATCACAATACCCAGCCGGCTTGTATGGGGGTATCCAAATCCCCATTGGTAGATCATCACAGCTGCTGGTACAAAACGCCAATGTGAACACGTGGAATGAAGTTAGGCCAGCATGGTATGCTCATGGTTGCTCCACATAGGATGGGGCTGGGGGTGGGGCATGCAAACACACTCGAATGAAGAAATGGCTCATGACTCGCAGTCCGAGCAGTCAATACAAGCAACAGTTAGTCAACTACCCCAGAGTATATAGCAAGAACATAAATGTACTCTGGAGAGTGTTACAAGGTAGCCCCTGTGCTCCCTATGGTTGCCCTAACTTGAGAGTTAAAGGGACACTTTTCTCTCAGGATGAGATGTGGCCAGGCTGACGATGCCCTTTGATGCTGATACTTCACAATCATTAACGTCTGACAGATCAGCAGAAGAAACATCTTTAAAGGGCTGGTGTTTATAAGGCTCTTCTAGGTGCAGCAAAACACAATGTGGGTAACTCAACAGGTGAAAGATGCTTCGCCGGCCTGGTGTTTCAAAGACCCACTTGTACACTATCCGTTTTCTCCAGCATGAAGCAGGAACGCATGTCAAGGACCGCAGTAAGGCGACTGGGATTGTGCCCTGCTATGGAACTGTGACAAACACGAGGATTAGCGACAAGCAACAAGTGCTGGGTGATTAGTGAGGAGTTTCATCAGAGTCCCTCTGAAGTGGAATCCTTCACTTTAACAGTGAGAAGGGAAATTGTAACTCAAATGTATCATTTCATATCTACAGCCACTCCAGGATAAGAGGGAGAGGGATCTCTACAAGACAGAGATGCTGTTCCAGTGATGGGCTAGAAGTGGGCTCTGATGGAAGAGGTCACCTATGAATGACAAGGGATTAGGATCTCTTTGACCTAACAACCAAGGGAGCTCTGTTTGTGGATGGCTGGCAGGACTGGAAATTTCCCACATGGTAAAATGGATCATTGTGCACCTTCCTCCCAGCAATGACCACATTTTTTCCCATCACCACAGTTTGTTTGCTAACCGAAAAATCACACCACCTTCTAGGAGGTGTTAGGGAGACCCATGATTAGTGGTTAAAGCACTGGAGCTGGAAGATCTGGTTTCTGTTTCTAAGCAACTGGCTTGTTGTGTGATTGTGGGCAAGACACTTAATCATACTGAGCCTCGGTAAGATGGAGACAATATTTCTCTCTCTCCGAGTGATTTAATAATTTCTGCAGAGTGCTTTGCTATCTGTAAGTGGAAGGGGTAAGAAGGTTCTACAGGTAAAAGAGAGGTTGTCTTATGGCCTTCATTTACATTAGCTGGGTCAGGCTAATTAATACCCCTGTCCCATGACAAGGATCAATCTCCGCTGATTCCAGTAGCTACTGTTACATCTTCTTCCACCCCCTTTCTCCTGACAAACAAATGGAAATGAATCACAATATCCAGCCAAAACCAGTCTCCAGTGCCCCCAAAGCACTGCTAGCTCCTGCCTTTGCTACAGACAGCACGCTGAGAATGCAAAAGGCTACTGTTTAAAACACTTTACTAGGCATCAGCCTTACCTGATACAAAAGCGTTTCCCCGGGGTTTGGATTTTATGGGTGAAATCCTTACCCTACAGAGATCACTGGCAGAACTCCCATTGATGGCACTGGGGCCAGGATCCCACCCCACATTCCTGCTGTGGAGGTGCCCGCACAATAATGGGGGGCTTAACAACCCCATGAGGTTGGTCCAGAACTTCCCCACCCTGAAAGGTGGCATTACAGGAAGGAGGGGTCCCTGAGTCCTCCTTCAACAGGCCCCAGCTGGCTATCTCCCGCTAAACCACTTGCACTCAGCACCTACCGACCGAGCACTGCCAGGAAGAATAAGGGCGAGGTACCTTCTCTGTGGTTGGCAACCGCGAGGAAGGCCTCTCCCTCAATGTCAAAGGCCTCCCAGTCCCTAGCGCTGTGCGTGGCGATCCGCTGGTACGGGAAGAATTTCTCTGTTCTGTGGCTCCACTTGTAAATTACAGAGAACTGCTGACCCCTTTCATTCTGCTCAAAATTAGCCACTGCTAGGAAGATCTGAAAAATAACAAGCCAGGACATCTCAGTTTCTCCCCTTACAGGGAATGCTCAAGCGCAGGTGCAGTGAAAATGGGGCACGCTTTGGAACACAGGGCTGGGTGCGGCACATGGGCACCTCCCACTGGGTCACGGCAGGGCCTGGCAGCAGGGCTGCTATTGCTCCCTGGGGAGGCTGAAAGACAGTGCAGCTAAAGTGCACCCCCTGCTGGCCACACAGAGCAGCTCTCTCTTCCCCTTCCCGTCCCTGCGTCAGAGGGGAGGGAGAGGGAGGAGAGCCATGGAGGGAAGGGGTGGAAGAGAATGGACAGGGCATTCGGAGAGCTAGGAAGGCAGAGCAGAGCGGGTGAGCGTTTGGGCCCCTGTAAAGACTCTACCAAGGCTGCTTTGTGCCCCAACAGGGCCCTGTGGCACCAGCTGGAGGCATTCTGAGTCGGCCTAGTCTCAGTCTGCCCGTCTTTCCTTCCAGGTCCATGAGCCCAGGGCTCAGACTGGCCCTCGTCAATGATATCTTTGCTGTCTACTGGGTCCACGGGGCGGAGGAGGGGAAGTGAGGTCTCCTGGTTAACAGTTACCACTGTATCACTCTGAAGGACACCCCAAATTCCTTGCAAGGTGAGACTGCTCTGCAGAGCTCTACCAGGTAACAGAAGAGCCCCCCACCCTCCGCCTTGACCCCAAATTCAAATAAAGCTTTTTTTCTGAGGTTCAGAAAAGCAACGTTCACTGGTTCCCCCCGCCTCTGAATCTGCAGCTTCTAGCTCGACCAATCAGACCCACAGCATCTGTCACTAGCTCAGATAAGCGTCCCTTCATTTTGGCACTCCCCTTAGCTAATACCAACTCCAAGCTGTCTAAAGTTAGCTTTTCAAAACCAGGCAAACCCGTGAAGTAGCCCATTCAAACACTCGGCACTGCCACCAGCATCCCGGCCTGCCATAGCACAGCTCTGACAGAAGCTTTCCTCACAGTCCTGGGCAACTCGACCAGAGTTAAGGGAATTGTCCCCAGGAAATCCTTTCCCACTGCAAGCAGCTCAGGGCAGGAACTGTCACTTACTATCTCTTTGCACGATATCTCGCACACGGGGCCCAACCTGGTTAGCCTCAAGGTGCTACCATGGTATAAATGTTTATGAAAATAAAAGATAGTATTAACGCAGACAGCCCCCCAACCTGAAGCAAATACTCACCAGCAACCACACACCACACAACAAAAACACTAACCCAGGAACCTATCCTTGCAACAAAGCCCATTGCCAACTCTGTCCATATATCTATTTGGGGACACCATCATAGGACCTAATCAGATCAGCCACACTATCAGAGGCTCGTTCACCTGCACATCTACCAATGTGATCTATGCCATCATATGCCAGCAATGCCACTCTGCCATGTACATTGGCCAAACTGGACAGTCTCTACACAAAAGAATAAATGGACACAAATCTGACATCAGGAATCATAACATTCAAAAATCAGTAGGAGAACACTTCAGCCTCTCTGGTCACTCAGTAACAGACTTAAAGGTGTCAATTTTGCAACAGAAAAACTTCAAAAACAGACTCCAACGAGAAACTGCTGAACTTGAATTAATATGCAAACTAGATACCATTAACTTAGGTTTGAATAGAGACTGGGAATGGCTGAGTCATTGCACAGATTGAATCTATTTCCCCATGTTAAGTATCCTCACACCTCTTGTCAACTGTCTGAAATGGGCTATCTTGATTATCACTACAAAAGTTTTTTTTCTCCTGCTGATTATAGCTCATCTTAATTAATTAGCCTCTTAGAGTTGGTATGGCTACTTCCACCTTTTCATGTTCTGTATGTGTATATATCTCCTTACTATATGTTCCATTCTATGCATCCGAAGAAGTGGGCTGTAGCCCACGAAAGCTTATGCTCAAATAAATTTGTTAGTCTCTAAGATGCCACAAATACTCCTGTTCTTTAAACAATAGCCTGTGGACTGATGGGGAATATTCTAAATGTAACCTGTCCTGCTTGGTTATGATTGACCATATAAGTCACACAGTATTGCTTTGCTTCTCTTCCCTGACTGGTTGAGCACAAAAGCCCTTATAATATAAATACGTACACACATTTAAAATGTCCTTTCTGTGGCCACTCAGCATGCAACTTTGCCATTCCCCTTTCTGCAAGCATTTTTGCCAGCTGAAGTCAATGGCTCTCATGTTTGTGGCAAGGGAGTACAAACAGAGCATGGAGGTGGCGATGGTGGCAGAGAATTCATTTCAAAATTCAAACCCACGGGAATGGGAATTGCTTTATGTTATTTGCCCAGCTCTAGCGCTGACTTTGCACCCCAATGGCACCCGCAGATATGCTTGGGTACCGTGCAATCCCAGTGGCTGACACGGCACCAGTCCGACATCCCTGTGGTAGAGGATAGACAGAAACATGGCTGTGGGCACCTCTTCCTTTCTGTTCCTGTTTTCCTGCTCTCCCCCCGTCTCTGTCATGTCCCTGGTTAGAAACCCATAGAATTCTACCATACAAGCAGGAATTCATTGGCCCGAACACCTTGCTAGTGTAGCAATGCCACTTTGCCATAGACTTTTAGTTCTGCCTATATACAGTATTTCCTAAATCGTTAGAGACAGGCCTAAATTTGGGGATGTCCAAAAATCCGCAGCTGAATTGCACATGGTATCTACTTTCCTGAATATGTGTGTGTACGCAAGTGTGTCTACATGTGTGTGCACACTCATCCACACTCAATACACGAGTGTTTGTGTGATCACCAGCAGTGGGGTGCCTATGAGTATGTCTGCCACAACACCCACAGTCAGAGGAAGCTTGAACCACACTGGCTTTATGTAAAGGCTTTTCTGTGGTGCTCATAGAGCACCCCGTACACTTTAATGAATTTATCCTCACAGCACCTGAGCAAGGAGCATTGAGGGCACTTAATAAACTCATTCTGTTTTGGAGCTATTCCAGACCTCAGGGACTAACCACTGGCTGTCCCCAGGACGAGAATGTAGCCCCCATACGAAAGTGATATTATTCCCATAGGAAAATGAGGCATAAAGGAGCATCACACAGGGTGTTTTGTGGTAGAGCCAGGCACCTAATGTACAACTCCTGAGTCCATTTTTGGTGGTCACCACCTCAGTCATAACACAGCTAGTTAACAATCCCACAAAGGCTCCGCCAGTTCTTGATTGCTCAGAAAACACCCTGCCATGACAGCTATTGGCCTAGTGCTTCAGTATAGATCAGTGGTTCTCAACCTATTTACCGTTATGGACCGCATGTGCAGCCCACAATGTGTTATCTGGGCCGCATCCAATACTACCTGTTTGGGCCTGAGGATGTCACATGGGCTGCAGGCAGCTCTGTGCAGAATGGGCTGCAGGTTGACAACCACTGTTGTAGACACTACCTACGCTGATGGGAGGGGTTCTCCCGTTGCTGTAGGTATCCACCTCCCTGAGAGGCGGTAGCGAAGTTCCAGTGCTGTCTACACCAGGTTATTTTGGTCAGCACAGCTTCTCTCTCGGGGGTGTGGATTTTTCACCCCTCTGAGAGAAGTAGCTATGCCGATGTAAGTTCCCAGTATAGCCAAGCATAGCTCCAAACCATATGTCAAAGATTTGTCCTGGGTCTGGATAACTCAGTCTCTTTTCTGGGGGTAAGCTGTACAGCACCATCAGAGCTGGACCACCCAAGATGGCTGCTAATCATCGCCCTCCTTCTGTCCCTCTTCCCAGCCATTCATTTGAGCTATAGTGTTGAATTGAGCCAAATAAACCTCCAACAGCTTTTAAGTTATTTGAGCTGGGACAGCCTGACCGCTCCCCTCTGGCCCTCTGCGCATTACAAACAGGGTAGCAAACTGTTGTAAATGTCCCCTGGCTGCCCAGTTCATCAGCCAGGCAACGGCCTTCTGCTGTGGTCAATGCCCCTTTGATTTCCTTCAGGGGACTGCAACTCATCACAGTAGGCAAGTTCCAAATTGGCCAAAGCTTGTTTGGTCTACACTATCTCCTGGCAGAATTTCTGGCCTGTGGCAGTCAGGTTGTTGATCATCCTGTCAATCTGTTTGACCATTCCAGACTGGGTATGTCGCAGTTGGGTTTCCCAATCCGTCTGGGCACTTGGTAGTTGCTGTTCCAGAAGGGATCTCATCTCAGCGTGCAAGTCATCTCTGAACCCTTTCTGGGTATCCTCCAACTCTTGCTTTAGATCCTGCTTTAGGTCTCATTTTAATTTGTGCTGGGGATTTTTGATTTCTGAAAGTAACTCCATTATTTGTTCCATCTTGGTTCAACAGGAACAGCAGCTCACAATCTCTCTAGTCTCCTTGGAAACTTGGTCCCGCTCCTACACGTGTGCTGCCCCTCTTTGATCCAAGCAGTTAGTCAAAGCTGGAAGGATACATCAATGGAGGCTCCTATTTTCTTTGCTGCCATCTTGTTTAGTTACAAGGAACGTACAAAGTCCTGCTTCTCCAAATACAGGAGGACCAAGAACAAAGGCAGTAGTTTCTTAGCTCACAGGCCCAAACCTCTTTAGCCAACAGACCCACGAGGTCTCTCTCTAGTTTTGCCAGTGAACTTAGGCTCCCTGCAGGGAGAACCATGTCAGTGTTGCTTCCCACAGGGCCCTGGACTGGGATATGTGGAGAGGGAAGGAACAGGGGTCCCCCTTGCACACCCACTTAAGGGCTGTTGCCCAGATGCAGGTGGAGAGCCGAAGATTCCAGATTAGGGTCAGGGACCAGCCCCTCTACCGTCCTAACAGAGAGCAAGGGGCTGGAAATTGGGTGTGCTAACTGCTAGGCTGCCTGGCTCTCCAAGCACCCTACCACCCTACCACAAAGCCTACAAATGACACACATCTGATCTGGAAGATCATAGGCTTAAAAGGACTGCAATTTTATTTTTAGCTGAACTTTGCTACAGAATGAAGGAAAAAAATAGCTTTCAGCAAAGCTCACTAACCCATCCAGTGCATGTGCCTCTCTCA